TTTGATTTGAACTCTAAATTACGTTATTGAGTTTGATCGCGATAATTTGCAAAGTTTTAATTAGTATTGAAGTTCTATTACGTGAGAGATCAAGTGCCTATAAAAATATATTAGCAAATCTGCAAAGTATACCAATTTTTGTAACCCGTGAATTGTCCAACCAAATCAATTAGTTTTACATAATCAATATTAAAGTTAACGGCAAGGCAAAGCAGTCATATTAACTTCCAAAAAGCCACATAATAACGATAACTTATTATGAAACCGCCAGATAATACCTCTTTATGCTAACTTTTCTGATCAAAAGTATAGACATAACTTACAGTATAACAACAATAAGAGTAAGGTTTTGCTAAAATGATCCGATATGATTTGTGACCATGAGAACCTCATGTGATCTTTAAAAATAACGGCATAACTTCGATAAAAAGTTAATAGAGTCTATGATAATCGTTTAGTTGAGGCAGAGTTAATAGTCATGATGTAGTTGACACTTTATAGAAAAAAATACGGTAAACGGACTTTTAGCAGAATAGTTTGTTTATTAGAGATCAAGAGTCTTAATTGGTATGAGCTTACTTCAAATACAGTCATACCTGAATTATATCACTCTGTTTTTCCAGAGCAATTTAGAGGATGTAACTAAGGCAGAAAATATAACATAGATATCACTCTTTAATTACCTGATTATTGGCCAATTAAATTGCAACCTTTTAAAATTAGATATATCTTTAACAACAAATAACTTGATTTTGATACCAAAGTGATTGACACGATGAGACGATTTTATTGAGCCTAAATACTAGTGTTGTTGCTAGACCGATTCAGTGAGAATCACTGAAACTGGAAGGCTCACTGGAACTGACTAGATGGAACGGGAAGATATACTGGTTACAGTGGCCAGTTGTCGCTGGATTCATCCAGTTATATTCTTTTTGCCACTGACCAAATATTGGAAATTTGCGTTATGATAAGTGTTTAAACGTATTAGAGAACCCAACCCTTTCATATAACTCAAAGCTTAAATAGAGTTATTCATACCTTAAATATTTATTTGACATGGTAGAAATACTTTATTTAAATAAGCAAACCGGAAATTTAGGGATATAATTATTTATTTGAAAGTTTTTATAAACTAATTTGCAATGTGTACCAAGCAACTGAATAAATTTATATATAATGCTACTTTATTCTGCAAGCAACGGATAGTCGAAGCAAAAGTGCAATAAAGGAATGTAAAGTTCGTATTATCAGACAAGCCTTTTACCAATTCATTCAATTGTTGCCGAAGGTCTTATGAAAAAAACTTTATAAGTATGCTCAATCTTTAAGACAAGATCATGTTAACGAAAAATTTAGCGAAGAATATGAAACAACAAATCCGTTGCTAAAAAGCAAGTGGTTTACAAATAATATTAACAATAAGGAATTCAATTTTTTTTGAGCGAGGCGAAAATTTTTTCTACCAAAAAAAAAAAAAGAAAAAAAATAAGTCAATTTAATTATTGTTATTTTCAAAATATAAATTTCAACCTAGAAGTTACATTTGTTGTAGAGACGATATGGATGAGTCAACTCTCTCTAAGCGCAACTTTTAAGGACTGGACATTTGTTATATGTATTTAGAGAACAGATAAGAAACATTGCATTTATAGGAATCAGCTATATCTGGGCCAGAATTTGAGTTGCATTTAGAGAAGTTGTATTTTAAAAGAATTGACAGTATGAATTTATTGTTTTCGATAAATTTTTAACGACCACGAAATAACGTTCGCTATTAATAATATGTCAATTTTAAAGAATGTAAATTGAAAAATGATGCAGATATATACTTTAAAATACCGATACAGCAATTAATTTACAAAATATAATATCTGATATAAAATTTCACACATAGCAAGTATCATATCATTGCAAATTATCATTTTTATGAAGTAGATTTATAATGTAACTATGAAATTTTATTTTCAAAATAAGAAGCGGCGCTCCAGAACCTAACAGGTCCCGACGAACCAAGCATAACCACCCAAATCAGTTACGTATGGAGTTTAAATAGATATAATTTAATAAATAAAAATTTTTCATAATAAAATCACCTAAAAATTCATATAATGCTGAGTAGAAATCGTATTTTTACGCAAATGATTTGGGTGGTTATGCTTGAAGTGTTAACAGATCTCGTTTGTCGATGAACTAATTATCGGTGAAATGAACTTTCGGTGAATTAATTGTCAGTGAATTAAGCTGTCGGTAAAGTGATTGTCGGTGAAAGATACGTATCCCGTACGTACGTACATACATCTATGAAATAATAATAAAAAGAGTATTGATCTGTACATCTATATTACAATTAAAATAAAAAGTGGGGGTTTTTTTTATAAATATGTAACTATCGGAAAGATTCAAAGTCATTTGTTCTGGAATTTCAAATGGTATAAAATATATTATTTGAAATGAAGTGCCAAGAAAAGGAATTGTTTGAAATTCGATTTGAGAAAATTGTTGATTTTGTTTCTAACACACAAATCCCCATGATTAAATACTACATTGCTAATAGGCGTGTTAGCACCTATTTCATTCCCAACATTAATACTACATGAACTCTCGATATTAGTCACTACACTTTCATTACTACATGCTACACTTGTAAATTTGCCAACTATTTCTTTCCCAGCCTTAGTACCTAAATATGTAATAATAGTATCCATACTTTTGGCATTATTTAATATGTCCATACTGGTATTAATAAAGTGTCCAGAATTAAATGATTCATCTCCAATAGACGTGTTGATAGCTATTTCATTTTCAACCTTAGTATCGCAGTTTATGATATTGGTCTTCAAACCTTCATTATTACATATTACATCTGTAAAGGTCTTAATCGAATCCACTATGTTAAATGATTCACCTCCAATAGACGTGTTGATAGCTATTTCATTTTCAACCTTAGTATCGCAGTTTATGATATTAGTCTTCAAACCTTCATTATTACATATTACATCTGTAAAGGTCTTAATCGAATCCACTATGTTAAATGATTCATCTCCAATAGACGTGTTGATAGCTATTTCA